GGGGGGCGTGGTCAGCTGCAGCTCACAGAATCAGCCCCCTGCAAAAACAGGGCTGGAGAACAGCAAATTGAGCGAAATGAGGCATGGCTTAAAATGCATCATCTGTTTGGTATTTTGAAAACAGAAACGTATAAATATACCTTATATAGGTATGGCCCTACAATATATCATTTAAATATAGCATGATAGGTCCACTTTAAGTACGATTTTGAATGCAGGACTATTGAGTATTAACCCTTTGACTGAGTACGTTTGCACCAGTGCTTAAAGGTTAAATCTGTATGCAGAATGAAAACAAAGAAGATTGACACTATTGTAGTAATAATAATATGAAAACTTGAAAAGCTTAAAAATGAATAGTTTATTTTCAATTATAATGAAAAGGATGGAAATATGTCTCTGTCTTCTTTTAAAAAGTAATAACATGAGGGAACAAAAGGATTTTCTTTCCTTCTATATTTACCCTAAGTCATTTGTTAGATAAAATCAGAATCAGAATACCTTTATTAGTCCTACAGAGGGGATATGTACATGTTACAGCAGGTAAAGAGCCAACAATAGCTGAATATTACTAAAGAAGCATGCATAAAATATGAAAGATAAAAATGACACCATTTACAAAATACACATCTAGTACCAACATGTCTTTGTGCAAGCAATGTTTCAGAAGAAATGTCTACGTCCATACTGTTAAGGACACCTATGATAGAAAGTGTCCTGTTGAAGCTTTATTGCAGTGGTGTCAAACTCAAGGCTCGCAGGCAAAATCCGGCCCACGACCTCGTGTTATGTGGCCCGCAAGAGCTTGCAAAGAATATAATATACAATGGTGTAATTGTTGAATATTTGCTTTCAATTATTTGCCCTAGACCTCTGCTTTCAGACGTTATGAGGTTATTACCAGAACTGATAATAGTCCAATGCAGAGCCAATAATGTAATATAATACATTATTTAATATATATTATATATTTATATATGCATATTTATATAGTCTTAAAGTTACAACCGGCCCTTTGAGTGCAACCATAATGCTAATGTGGCCCACAATGAAATTGAGTTTTTTTGCCTCCATGCCCTGCGTGTGACGTCACTGTCACAGTTGCCAGCAGCAAATCTGTGCGGAGAGCTGCGCAGCCGCTCTGCGTCAGCAGGAGAGGACAGCGCAGCCATTTCTCTACCCCTCATGAAAAAAAAACTCCAGCGGGGGTTTGTGAGGGTCTTTCACGCAAATAACTTCCCCGACGTGCGGGAATCATGAAGTAAGCAGCACATACCGAGGCGCAGCTCGATCCCGGAGCTACAAACTATCTCCCAAATGTAACGCCTGCGCAGGCGACACACACGCTCGGTCTTTTTTTTCCTGTTGTTTTCTGTCAGAAATGGAGGGACATCTGCAAGGCGGCTGCGGGGACATCGTGATCCTGCATGTGAAAACGGAAGCGGTGGATGAGAACACGTCTGCGCTGGTTCTGAGCAGCCGAGGCTCGCCTGCGCCTTGCGGGGATTCCGCATGCAGAGGCGGGGAGCAGACTGCCGAGGAACCGGGGGAGAACACCGCTGCTCCGGGGCTGCTGTGTGAGTGCTGCTGGGCTTTCTCTTTCCCTTTTTAATGCACAATTTAGAAACAATAATTCAATACGTGGGGTTTCTGATTAAGAGGAGACACTACAGGTGGATAGTGTCCAAATCTGAATATTTAATTCATTCTTGGGGGAAATTGGGGTGATGAATACTTACATATATTTTCACTTGTAGTATTATAATAATTGAAATGCTGGTTCTTCTGGGGGTGTTCTATGGTTCTATCTCAGCTACCACAACGCAGCTGCCTGCAGTGTACAATCGCTGGAGGACTGGGCTGTCACTCAAAAACTGAGTAGCCAATGGGGACGCACCCCTGAAAGTCCCGCCCACCTGGGAGGTTTGTGTCAGAATCTCAAACAAAAAGTGAAGGAGCGCAAAAGAGAGTGCTGCAGCGAGAGCAAAAGTCTGATAATTGAGAAAGAAGAAACAAGAACAGCAAACAAAAAGATATGTTAAAACAAAGAAAAAAGACTTATAGTTTACATGATTTGTTTGCAACTTATAGTTTTGTTTTTGAAATTTATTTTATTTAGCTTGACTCAGTTTTTTTTTCTTTTAAACTCATAGTTTTGCTTTATTCTAAGGCGCCGTTTACACGAGGACAAAACGGCTTGTATCTGCATAGTTTCTCTTGCGTATAGCCCTATTATTTACATGAGGCCGATAGAAACGGACCCCACAAACGATAACGGGTCCCAAGGTGGATAGATTTGCAAACGAAACTCTCTGGGGGGTCAAACGAGTCCGTGTAATCACCTCTATACGAATATTTCCTGAAAAAATAACGATAGCCCCACCTCTCCCCACGTCTGCTGCTCACTGCTGTAGCATGGCCAGTAGCCATCTGTAACGATCAACTATCAAAAATAGCTGTGTTAATTAAACGCACAAGGGGTTCTTGAATGAAATAATATTATAAAAGGCAAACCAGAATTGTTAACGCCCAATATACTCCTTAAACAAAATAAACACCCAATATACTCCTTAAACAAAATAAACAGAGTCAGATTTCATGCATTGATCCATTATATTGACAATTTTCCAGCCAAACAACACAAACAAAATTAAACAGTCCGCTCTGCGATACACCAAAATTGTCTTTACTGCCTAATCCAGGCCATTATTGTTCATTGCTCCTGCGCCCGTCGGCGGCAAAAAGAGAAATGTTTGTAGGCCTATTCAGGCTATAATCCACACAAAAAAAGGAAACACGAGGACCGGCGTGTCCCAGAGGAGCGATCTCACCCGGTGTTTGTAGAGAATATCTCTCTTTCTGAGCGCGTCCTCTCCACGGAGACGTGCTTCTTGGTCGGTCGATGCAATATCCACAGATTCGATTTCTTTCAGTTAACTTCCCCGTTGCATTTATCCATATATTTACATGCTGAGGAAATTACTATATCCCGCTGAATACCAGCAATCGCCACACACACTTCCTCCTGTCAGTAGCTACTGCTAGTGCTACTGCTACTGACTATGCTACAGATGTTAGTGCAAAATCTACAGCTCCTCTACCACAACCATCAGCAACAAGTGGACATGGAGAATTACATGAACTACATGTTGCTAAATCCACCGCGGGGCATAAACAGAAGGGTAGCCATGGCAACATTGCTGCGGGGCTGCTCCGGAGTCTTCTTCGCTGCTTTTGGTGTATTTTGTTGCGGAAGTTACAGCGCCACTTATAGTCCCGGCATATGTACTACAGCGTGTCCAGCGTTTCCAGCGGTCTCGTTTGAACAGACACGTTAAATGAAACGAATGGATGTGAACGGAAGACTTTTTTGAAAACGCATACTGTGCATAAACGCAAACGTTCCCGTGTGCACAACGCCTGAGAAAGTGTTGCTTTATCTTTATGATACAAAACTAATCCCATAAGAGAGCACCAGAACGCAGCTCCCGCACTTCCAAAGATTGCAGTACCCATAGGAAGCCATACACATGCCGCAGTTTTTGCGTAGCTGTGTCTGTAGTTGTGAGCCCAGTGGCGATCTGTTCATCTGTCATACTGATCATACACTCAATAACTTTGTTGTTATTAGCATCTGGTTAGCTAGCTATGCTAACGAATATAAGAAGCTTTTTCTCCAACCAGTGAGGTAAAGGCACATCTTTATATGATCATTATAGTTATAAAAAAATAAGAGAATAAAGTAAACAGGTATAAAATACTATATGAGAGTAAAAAAAAGTTGAAACAAGAATAGGCTACAGTTTAAAAGGGGAGTGATTTGTAAAATATCCATAAAGAAAAAGAAAATCTGTTTACAGTTCTGTTTCATATGGGTGTTGAGAGATGTATCCATAGATCTCTTAATTTTGCTCTCAAAGTGCACCAGATTGATGCTTTTAACTTCAACATTTAAAAAAAAATCTTCCCGGGGGAACATGCCCCCGGACCCCAGAGGAGATTAGGTCTACTAGATTTTATTCTACATTTTATAGTTGTACTGAATTGTGTACTGTACTGTAAAGCACTTTGTACATCCGTGTTGAGAAGGGTGCTATATAAATAAAGTTTTACTTACTTACTTACTTACTTACTGTGATTTTAGTATTTTTAAGCAGAGGTCAATAATTTGTACGGCCCTCGGAGGATGTTGGAAAAATTGAAATGGCCCTTGAGAGGAAAAAGGTTCCCCACCCCTGATTTATAGGCAAATACTGGCGTTACGTGAAGCCCGCAAAAGCTGCGCCGCATTTCGAGTTGATTGTGATTTATAAAAGGAAACCGGCGTAGGATGTGCCGTACGCAAGTCCTGCGCCGGTACGCAGTCTTTCAATTCAACATTACAATTAAAGAAAATGGAAGATGGAAGATGCAATTGTGTGATGATTGCAGTATTTATGTGCACTGTACACTCACTTCACTATTGTGTCTATTTTTTACTGTAGTGAGAATTGCCAATGAAATTTCGTTGTACTTTGTATGATGACAATAAAGAAATATTCTATTCTATTCTTCATGCATATGTTTCAGTTCAGAAGACAGGAGGCACGCAGCTCAAACTGCTCATGTCGTTCCCAAGAAAAATATATACATATAAAATAGAACAGAGATAATATGCAATATGTTGAATAAATAGAGAACAACTAACCAGTTTATTATAGAAATACAGTAAGACAATTTACAGAGCTCATGAGATTAAAAGTCTTATGACATATACAATTCCCTTGATAATCAAATTAAGTTTGAATAGTAGCATAATTTTAAATAAAACTGTTATTTTTCTCACTAACTGACAACTAAAATAACATGTATTCTTTAATTTAAATAAATAACCATTCAGGAAGTCTCTTTTAAGTGGATGATGCCCTCTGCAGACAGGGACCAGTAGTGCATTTATCTGTCAAAAATAAAAAACTAGTTTCACTTTCCAAACGTCACCCAAAGAGAAGGGAGGTATTGCAGGAATATACTATTCGCTGAAGGAGGAACTGAGGACACATTTGTGGGAAGATACAGGTAAGAAACTCCACGAATGAATGCTTCTAAATCTCTACTTGTTTTGATTTCAAACCACCAACCCAATAGTCCACGGGGAAGTTTCTTATGCGCATTTGAAAGGGCCAGTGTCCAAATCATATGAATCGGGACAGTTTACGCGCAGGGAATGAGGCCTAATGCATGGTAAACAACGGAGGGAGACTTTCTAAATCACTTTGTTTACTTTAGTGCCATAGTTTGGATGTGGAGCAGACACGGTGTCTCTGGTTGTTTTGTGGCAGTGACTGTATCTGATGGAACCGATGGATTGGCTGGAGGATAATGAGCTCCTGCTCTTTTTCCGGCGAAGTAAAACGGTAATGTCCTGCATGGAGAACCCGCAAACCTTTCTGCGACAGCTCCGGGACCACGACCTGCTGCTGGAGGACAGATACCAGGTGAGGGGCTGGAGTGGAAACGCTGTTGTTATTACCTTCTTCATACACACTTCCTCTTTGAATGAAATGCCTGCTACTCATTTCTGCACAAACATTTTGAAACGTCCTGTGGTGAGGCATGTGAAAAACAAGCGCCAAAACTGCAGTTCGTCGAATAGCCACTTGTAGCTGGTCTCAATATCTAATTCCACTACTTTTTGACTCAGATTGCGCCCACACTCAAAGTCTACACTTTACAAACAACATAAACGAACAATATTTATAACAATTACTTTATTTAAAAATGATGTAGGCCTATATTTCGGCTGTTTACTGCCGACTTTGCAAATGGATTTTGAATATGGTTTGGTTATTTTCTACTTCCTTAAATTCAATTGAGTTTCTAATGGGCGTTTTCATGCCCCCCTCTACCCCAAAACTATTTGTTGTCCCCTAATATGTGCATTTTGAGACGTTTGTTGAACAGACATTTTATATCAATTAAACCATGACAGTGATCAGCAGTATGAATGATCTGTCAGTGTCAATCAGGTTAAATTATTTTAACATCTATTTAACCCAAATTGAATGGAAGCATTTCAACTTTATCTGTCAACCATTGGATAGATTAAATGAATGTTAGCATACATAGGTATACATATTTTCAAATAACCCCAACCCCTGCTTTAATGGAAGTGTCAAAGCTAACATTGTGATCAGATGACCAAGAAATATATCCTGGTGTTGTAAAACAAGTTCAGTTTATTTTTGGTTTATATTTTAGGTTTCACAACTTTTGTAATATACACGTAAAAAAATATCTAGGTTGTGATTTTGTTGACCTCAATCTAGGCTCTTTGGATGCTGAAAATGATAAAACAAAAATGTGTTTTGGCTCAATCTGCATCTGCGCTCTGAGGCTATTGTGCAGTTATTAAACCCCTTATTTTCTCCTTTTGTTTGTGTGTCTGTAGATGGTGAGTCGCATGCAGAGTATTAAAAAAATAAAGAACGGTCTCTACGAGATTCTGGACCGGTTGGAGAGGAAGCAACCACAGGACATCAAAGTGTTCTGGAGCTGTGTCTTCAAGGAGACCATCTTGAACGAGTACCCCACCCTGCGACTGCTGAGAAACGACCTCATGAACGGTCAGACGAAGTCTTTATTTTGGTCATTAGTGTGTTAATGATTACGATTCTGTTCATCATGTTCCTGTTCTCTTTGGAAATTTAAATCGGAATCACTGATCTCACTTTGTGGCTCAACACTAACACCTAATAACACTGTTTACTATATTTTAGGATTGATAGGGTTAGCAAACTAGCATACCTGTTTAACCGGTAAGCTGAAAGTAAATTGACTAACTTGAAAAATATGGATACACGCAATTTTCTTATAAAGTAATGAAATAACAAGTTGAAATAGTTGGCCATTGATAGTCAAAACGTAAAATAGTTCTGCATAAACCATGGTCAAAGTAATGACCATGGATTAAACCATTGTTGAAATTGATAGCTAGAACAATAAATACACCATTGTTCAAATAGTTAGCTAAACAAATAAATACGTAGTTATAAGTTGACATCATTATTGGCGAAATTTGCTGAGGCCACACTATGACAATAAAGTTAGGAAGGAATTTTTCCGTTATTTCATTTCATTTCATTTCATTTCATTTCAAACCTTTATTTAACCAGATGGTCCCATTGAGATCATAGCAGTGTTGTAGTCAAGTCACCAATTCACGAGTCCAAGTCACTCTCGAGTCACCACTCTTCGAGTCCGAGTCCAAGTCCGAGTCACCAAGGGAGAGTCGTAGTCGAGTCCGAGTCCAAGTCCGAGTCACCCAAGGAGTGTCCGAGTCGAGTCCGAGTCCGAGTCATCATTACCTGTGTTCGAGTCCGAGTCCAAGTCCGAGTCACCCAAGGAGTGTCCGAGTCGAGTCCGAGTCCGAGTCATCATTACCTGTGTTCGAGTCCGAGTCCAAGTCCGAGTCACCTAAGAAGAGTCCAAGTCAAGTCTGAGTCACAAGTCTTCATGTATTAATCTTCGTGGATATATGTGTTGAAATGTAGCTGCTCCTCTACATTGCTTTTATCCTGTCATGTTATACTAATCTGTCTATTGAACTGCTGTGAAGCGAGTTTGGCTATAATTCTTGTAATAGGTGCTATACAAATATAAAGCTTATTACTAATATTAATATTATTATTATTATTATATATAAATGAACTATGTTTAAAATGAGTTACCTTTTAGAGAAGTGATTATATTTGTATGCCAATATTTTCCTATGGTAAAGTTTTCGTTTTGCACTTTTATTTTGAAAGTAATAAGATCGGGACTCTTATTTTGAAGGAACTTTTACCGGTTAAATCGGTTTACTGATAAAGATTTAGCCCCAGAAAGCACATGGCTACTTAGCATGCAAAATGACGTCATTCTGCATGTTAAGTAGCCGTGTGCTTTCGTGTTATCGGCTGAATCTTTATGTATTGATTAGATCACGTTACTCTGATGATAGTGTTCAAGACAGCCTATATGTCTGAACTCGATGTTTAGAGTAATGTGTTACGGAGCCTTCTCTTCAATATTGTTTCCACATAGAGCATTTTGCGCTGCTCTTTTCCAATGTGGAAGCAGAATGTGTGAAAGCATACAGCACGATGCGGGGTGTGTCTCTAGACATCTTTAGACTGGAATAGCGGGGCCCAGTACGTGAACTCGCCTCGCAGCCGGTGCACACGCCAGGATAGAGGACATCAGACTCCATAGAAAACGTGCTCGAGTCCGAGTCCGAGTCCAAGTCGGAGCGTCAATGTACAAGTCGAGTCCGAGTCATCGTGGGGGAAAAAATTCACGAGTCCGAGTCCGAGTCCAAGTCAGCGTACGCGATAATTCACGAGTCCGAGTCCAAGTCATCGTGTGCGAGAATTCACGAGTCCAAGTCCGAGTCGCGTCAATCAGTGCGCGAGTCCGAGTCGAGTCACGAGTCCCGAAAATCGGCACTCGAGTCCGACTCGAGTCCGAGTCCAGGACTCGAGTACTCCATCTCTGGATCATAGATCTCTTTTTCAAGGGAGACCTGCAGCATATAGGTTCCACATGAAACTGACTGAACTAATTGAAATTGCAGGGACTTTCCAATCCGACATACCTCCTCTTGAGAGGTCGGAAACAGAGGAGGCAGATAAAGGGAAAAGGAAGGATGTTTCAGAAGATGAGGAGGAAGCGGAAAAGCAAGAGAGCTCTGTTAAAAAGAAGAGAAAACTGAAAAATAGGGATGTGTGCGACGAAGAGGAGGAGCAGCCAGGTCCGTCGTCTCGGGTGTCTCCGAGGAAAAGGCCTGAGAAAATACACTTCTGTAAGTCACCTCCCACTTCTGCTTCCATTTGTAAACATGACTGTATATTACTCAAAGTTCCCCTGCTGAAAAGTAACTTGTAAAGTAAATTCTTTCTTTCTTTGTTTTTATTTTCCAGCCTCTCCCCTGAAGAAGGGAGAGAAGAACGACATTTGGACCTGGGACCTCTACAAGTCCCAGCTGCCGGTGACCTGTGGAGAGAAGAAGGGGATGCTCAGCAGAAAAAGACTGGCTAATGGTGAGCAGAATATAAATAACTGAAGTATGGGATCATGAAACATTTTTTATCATCATTGTCGACTCCAATATGGAAATCAAGTAAATTAGGACCAGATTTAGAGATCATTAATCACAATGTAATTTCTGATATATAGTGAAACTTCTCCAATCTTATTCTGACCGGAGAAAGATAGTGACATATATTGTTCATCAAATTTGTATCAGACTTTATTAAGCAAGTAATATGTGTGATAACATATTCTCAAAAGAAAAGGGGAGATTTATTCCAGATTTCGCTATGAGCAAATGTTCTCCTGCAGTGCAAACTGATATGATTTTCAAGACACTGTACTATGTGTGTGAGACCATTAACAATGTCCAATTGTAACCATTGCTGCAACATTTTTGTTTATTGGACTTTTTTTGTGTTCTTCCGTAACATAGTGACAGCACTCTGTATCATTTATGCTCCAATTGTTTGCGCTCCATTACATTGTAAGTGATAGCCTAAGGGGCGGGCCATCTCTAAGCATTTGACCAATCACAACAGAGCCGGCCAGCTAATTAATCAAAGCAGACTGGGCTCTGATTTCAGACCGAGGGTGAAAAGAGGTGCTGCAGCACAGGCAGTGTGAGAAAAATAAAGAGCTTTTTGAAGATTAAGCATGGAGACATGTCCCATTACAGGCAGAAAGTACTAATATGAACCTGAAAATGTACATAATATGTCCCCTTTAAAAAACTTAAATCACGATCAATTTAATATCGGCAAGACTGGTTGCTCAATATCCAGTTTTGTGACATGGGAAGTTAGGTTTAGCTGGAAGGATTTTCCAATGCTTGGTAAATATTGATTGACATTAACCCATCCTCAATACTTTATTCTGTTTCAGGGGAGAAGTGCATCGCTGTTAGGGAGACAATGGTTTTCTCCGGGTGAATTTGAGAGGTTTGCGGGCAAGGACATCTCCAGGAACTGGAAGATGACCATTAAATGTTTGGACACCCCTCTGGGAAAACTTATACAGGTTTGTTAAACTTGGATTTGACAGCTTTAATTGTTTACTATTGGAAATGTTGCTACACCTTGTAAGATTTTGGGAACTTCACTGCAGGCGGGTCATCTGAAAGCAGCAAACTACAGAGCAGGATGCAAAAAGGTAATAACAAAAACTGATGTAAATACATATATTCTGACTACTTAGTTTTTAATGATCTGACCCTAATAATATCCCTTTTTTCTTACTGTTAGACCAAGAAAGCCCTGTTCCCAACTGACGATGTAACCACAGGTTTGTTGCTAAAGGTGTATACATGGAGTATTTTTGATAGTCTATGAGAAAACTCTGAATCCCTGCAAGCTATTACAAGATGTATCGGTCTAATCTAAATGGTTTTCATCTAAGTCTGCATGTGTAAAATGTTGAGTTTCAAATTGGCATATTGAAGAAGTGAGTGTTTTAACTGTAGGATAAATTATTCATACGAAGAAGCAATGGAAAACCTATTCACCATTTTCATTTTTTAGTGTCCGAGGAAGAAGAAGATGAGGACGAGGACTCAGACCAGGATTCATCAAGCAGCACAGATATTTCCACAGATATTTCCACAGATATTTCCACAGCTGGAACAGGTCCTGCTTTCCTCAGAGTTATATATAGGGTCACTGATGCTTAATGCTAGGTTTTTTTGTACCAAAGGCTAAGTTACCAGATACTTGAAGCTAGCTAGCTTGGTTGGCATCCATAATTCACGTTACCTTTGATGTCAATTGGGATGCTAATTTAGGCTAGCAAAAAAATGCTTGTTTGGTCATTACTAAACTGAAAAAATGAACAGCTAACTCTTTAAAGTGACTTGTACATCAACGAGCTATTCTAACAGGCCAGGTAACGTAAGTGCAGACATTGTTTACCTGCTAATAAGTGTCAACATATAAATAGGATAACACTAGAATTTCACTCACTGAAAATTTGAGACTTTTTTTGTAGAAGAATGTAGAAGAATCTTTGCTGAAACGTTAGCTATTTAAACCTCCCTTTTAGAGCCTCAAGTGGCCATTTGAAGAAATGCAGTTTTTGGCACTCTTGCATAGACTGCTGCTTGACCCAATCCCAGTATCATAGCATTAGGATAATCATGTTGTCCATTACAGATGAAGAAGGAGAGAGAGAGGAACAGACAGACGCCAGCCATGACAGTGGCAGGAAGGTGTTCAAAGTCACATGTGGACCTTTAGCGGGGGACTTACACGAAAAACGATTTGCAACAGGTAGCTATATCTGACTGAACATAAAAGCTTAATATGTGTATTGAAATAATACAGTTTTTACTGACCAGCTGAATCTAGTGTAATGTGTCTCCTTGCCAGGGACCTTAGGGAAGAGTATTCGTACTGAGACCAAATGGATGACCCCAATGCAGTTCATGCAGGAGGCATGTCCAACATATTTGTCCTGGAAGAAAGACATCGAGTGTGAAGGGAAAGCACTCGGTGATCACATAAAGGTAAACATGTAACTGTGTATTCTTGTGAGATGCATTTTGATAGTAATCTTTAAAGGGGCCTCATTATGCTCTTTTTTAGGTTATATTTGTATTTTGTTCCTCTACTGTGACATGTCTCCATGCTTTAATGTTCAAAAAGCTCTTTATTTTTCCCCTTCTGCCTGTGCTGCAGCACCTTTTTTCACCCTCTGTCTGAAACCAGAGCCCAGTCTGCTCTGATTGGTTAGCTGTCTGGCTCTGTTGTGAAAACAGTGATGTTTAATAATTTTCAGAGCAAATCTTCAGTTACAAAAATGTACCTGTAACCAGGGAGGGTAATGAGCTTTTGAGAGACCGAAGGACTTGTCAAGCCTGAACGTTGTTAACTATGTAAAACATAGACACTGTTTATTTTCAGGCAAATATCTTGATCCACGAAGTGCAGTGTGATTGTAAACTGTGCAAACCGCGAAGTAAGGATCTGGTAAGTTTGTTAATCAGTCAGTTTCATAAACAAGGAACCTTCTGTAGTGTAATCCTACTGAGATGTTTACATTTCTGTCTTGGCAGGATGATGAGAAAAACGATGACGAGTGTTTCATCTGTAAAACTGAAGAAGAAGAAGACGAGTTTGTGGTGTGTGATAAATGCCCTCGCTCCTTCCATCAGAAATGCCACCTTCCTCATGTAGAGGACAACATAATAGAGTGAGCTTTGAATCAAAACAAAAGAAAAAAACACGATTCATTTTGTTCCCCTTAAATCTGGATTAATACTTGATTCTGATTGGCTGCAGGTTGTTCATTATTTTCTTATAAAGGACACCTACCAAGTAGTTCAAGAGACATTGTTTTTGCACCAGTATAAACTCATGGATGTATCTTATGGCGCGTTTCCACTGCAGCGCGGAGCCCCGTTTAAGAGAGCTGTGACGTCAGCGGCCCGTCTTTGGTTGCGTTTCCACTTGGCCTAGTACCGGCTAGCGGGTCCTAATTCACAGTTTTTCTGGCCCCATAAAATCGTGGTTCTAGGGCCAGGAACAACCAGGCTGAGTCGGGCTGAGTTTGCTAAACTAGAGAGAGAATCACTGGCAAGGGGGCTACAACTACAACAAGATGGACATATTTGACCGTGATTTAATTGTAATACACGATTCAAAATGATGCCGAAGTAACAACATACTGATACCGGTTAGTAAAAACCATGAATTAATGCTTTGACAAGTCTGCAGACAGACGGCAGGCGAAAAACCTTTTAAAATGCGTGTTTTCTAAATGGAGATTGGCTAAGCTAACGCAATATATGCTCAGACCGTCCACACTCACAACAACGGCCTATACAGACATAAATAAACCAGCGACTGTATTCGCCATGACACAGACAGTCTGTGGTTTGTACTTGTTTAACTTTTGTCTAGTTTCTGAACAGATATGAGGAGCTGTGAGCTCTGAGTGCTAACAGCTAACGGCTGTGTTGTTTTTCTGGGGTTCTCATTGAAGATGACGTCACGGCTCCGCCTACACTGCGTCACTATAGATACTACCCCAGTTCCTAAACTGTAATGGAAATGCGCCATAAAGTGAGCCAGTCCTAACGAGGCCTAGCCATACCGAGCGAAGCCGAGCGAGGCCGTGTAGTGGAAATGCGCCATTAATGATAGCAATGTGACTTGCTTTGGCCTCGAAAACTGACATCCATAAAAAAATGTAGATTCAACTTCAACTGCAGAATACTACTTAATTCAATACAATACATTGTATTGTAATGCAAGTCACCTAATCTACTTTATTTTGGTAAAAGCATCGCTGCCTTGACGGAGACCCTGCTTTATTACATGTTAAACTATTTGTTTAACTTTATAAATCAGCTTATAAATGACCTACGCAAGTGTTATGTCACGTGGTTTCACTTATTTAAAGAGGGATCGATGTTATATACTGTTGAAGATTGCTAATTGTCCGACCCAACATTTATACCTTTATTATGTTTGTGTGTCAATGTGAGCAGCGATGGAAGCCAATGGATGTGTACATTCTGTGTATACAAGGCCAATGAAAACCTTTACCCCAAGGAGTCGGAAAGAGAAGCAGCCTTGTCTCGCACAATATCACAAAGACTGCTGGTGAGCACACTGCGACTCAATCTCTCTTTTCATCGTCGTGTCTTGTTTTCCGTTAATCTCATCCCTCCCTTTTCTTACATCAACAGCATTGCCAATACCTCCTTCTGTGTCTGCGCAGTGCTGATAAGGATCAAATATTTGCTTCTAACCCATGTGGTGTTGTAAGTGTTTTTTATTGTGATTCCAATATTGCTCCTATTAATGACAAATAATGCCAATGATTTAATTTAAAGCATATAATGTGTGCTTCGTTCTTGGAGGACTATCTTCTGGTGTTTTGTGAATCTGAGATAAGATAAATGTGTTGCAGACTGTTTAAAGAGGAGTTATTCTGTTCATGTTCAGGTTCATATTTGTATTTAGTTTCTCTACTGTGACATGTTTCCATGCTTTAATGTTCAAAGAGGTCTTTATTTTTCTCATACTGCCTGTGCTGCAGCACTTTGTCGTGTCCCACCTGTTAGCCTATCTCTGCCTGAAGTGCCTCCTTTGTTTACTTCCATAACACAGTGACATCACTATGTAACACTAGCGGTTCTATTAGCTAGTGCTCCAACACATTGTACATGATAGGCTAAGGGGGCGGGACATGTCTAAGTGGTTGAACAATCACAACAGAGTCGGCCAGCTAACCAATCAGAGCAGACTGGGCTCTGGTTTCAGACAGAGGGTGAAAAGAGGTGCTGCAGCACAGGCAGTATGAGAACAATAAAGAGCTTTTTGAACATTAAAGCATGGAGACATGTCACAGTAGAGACACTAAATACTAATATGTTAGCACCAGCCAATAGGAGCGCTATGGAAGTAAACAAAGGAGTCCAATGGAGGCTTTTCAGTCGGAGGGGAGTGTGTGGGAGAGGAACTTTGGGATGTTAGCCTTTGCAGACCATGCACATGCACAAAAACCTGTATAACACACTACAGGAAATGGAAAACCCCAAAAAGCATAATAGGCCCTTTTTAATTAATTACTGCTTTCCGCCCACAGTTGGAACGATACTCCTCTGTGATTGAAACTCCAATGTGGCTGAACAATGTAGCCGGCAAACTCCAGAAGAAACTCTACCAGACTGTCGGAGAGTTTGTGTCCGACGTCCAGCTCATTTTCTCCAACTCTGCCTTATACAACCAAGTAAGAAACAGTGTCTTTCATAAGCTCTACATGAACTGCAGGGTTGGGAGTTTTCATCATGTTCACATCTGGTACTAAATGGTTTAAAACAGTCAAATATCAAAGTAAAGATTTATTTTTTAGGACATATTTTAGTGATAAGGTCTGTTGTGTTCTTTTTGCAGGGCAATGCTGGATGCCTTGCGATGGGAAACAGACTGAAGGAGTTGTTTGACAAGGAATTTAATAGTGTGTTCAACATCTCTGAACAAACTGTTGGCTGACAGATTTCATTTTTTAAGCTCAGTAGATACTGGGAAACGGTTACAAAATGTGTAAATAGCCCTGTTTTTGACATATCCCTTGCATGTGGATAATATATTCCAAACAGAAAAGCTGCTAATCAAGAGAAGGCAATGGAACTTTACTTGATTTAAGACACAACTTATCCAGTTTACCTAACGTACTTTTTAAATTACATTGAATTTCAAAGTGTAAACCTGTGGAAGGTACATCAAAAGATGTCGGATTTACAGGTCATAAACAGTACTTCCAGATAGGTTAGAAGTTGTAAAAGCCTTTTGAAATTGCCTTAAGTGAGGGCACTTGAGCCAGCGTTGCCTCTTTGTATATAACAATCCGGGGTTAATGTAATAAGTGAGATGGCCAGACCTTTTGGGTCGGCTCCATATATCTGCTTGTGTAATGCAACTAGTATATTCTCCAACCTTATGTTGCGTTTCAGTCAAAGGTCCAAACGTTTTTCCGGTTAAAGTTTTCAACTTCCTAAGTGTTTCAGCTCCAGGATGCAAAGTGAGCATGTGCTGATCGTGGGGAGATGATGTTTCTCTGCTAAGAGTACAGCAGCACTGCAGCAATTTGACTGTTTTAACGTTTTCCAAATAACTTTTATACTGTCAAGATAACTTTCAAAGATTGTTCACTGTAACCAGCTACCTTGTTTCCTGCTCTGACATCCATTTACACTCAGGTTTTACTATCCAATAGTATGAATATAATTAAAAATAGGCAAATATATTATTAGATAATAGCAACACTGACTTTAAATGGTGTTTTATTGTACTTCCTTTTGTAATAGTATAGACATGTTTGGACTTTTCAGTCTCATCCTATGTAATTAATTCAACAGATTGTTCAAGGAAGACAAATGCGTGAACAAAGTCTCTTGAGTGTTATTGGAGTGCATTTTGCATTAAAAAAAAAATCATTATTTAATTTCTTTACTCATAAAAAGGTTAAGTATGGTATAGGGCGGCTGTGGCGCTGTGGATTAGTGCATTGGTGTTCGGATCAGGGGAGCACAGGTTCAAACCCCACTGGGGATTGTCCACAGTATTGAGTATGTAAGTCGCTTTGGATAAAAGCGTCTAACAAGTAACATGTAATGTAATGTAATCATTAGTAATTGTTTTAAGTTTTGACAGCTTTTCGTTAACCCAAGTTTTTACAATGGATATGAATATGTGTGATTTTATTAAAAGAAAATGTAACTCCCAACATTATTTTCAATGGCACTTTATTTTAAGGAATAATCACGTTAGGATAAGAGGGTTTCATAAAGTATAAATTATGAATGTATGTTTTGTGAAAGTCAGAATTTGACTTTGTATGATAATGCTTGTTTTGATAAACCTGCTTGTACTTGAGTATTTTCATTCAATGCTACTTCATACTTCTACTCCACTACTTGTACACTACTACATTTATCTGACAGCCATAGGAACTAGTATATTTTGATGCCACTACTTTCGTACTTTACTTAAGTACGATTTTGAATGCAGGACTATTGAGTATTAACCCTTTCACTGTGTACGTTTGCACCAGTGCTTAAAGGTTAAATCTGTATGCAGAATGAAAACAAAGAAGATTGACACTATTGTAGTAATAATAATATGAAAACTTGAAAAGCTTAAAAATGAATAGTTTATTTTCAATTATAATGAAAAGGATGGAAATATGTCTCTGTCTTCTTTTAAAGAGTAATAACATGAGGGAACAAAAGGATTTTCTTTCCTTCTATATTTACCCTAAGTCATTTGTTAGATAAAATCAGAATCAGAATACCTTTATTAGTCCTACAGAGGGGATATGTACATGTTACAGCAGGTAAAGAGCCAACAATAGCTGAATATTACTAAAGAAGCATGCATAAAATATGAAAGATAAAAATGACACCATTTACAAAATACACATCCAGTACCAACATGTCTTTGTGCAAGCAATGTTTCAGAAGATTTTAAATGTCTATGTCCATACTGTTAAGGACACCTATGATAGAAAGTGTCCTGTTGAAGCTTTATTGCAGTGGTGTCAAACTCAAGGCTCGCAGGCAAGATCCGGCCCACGACCTCGTTTTATGTGGCCCGCAAGAGCTTGCAAAGAATATAATATACAATGGTGTAATTGTTGAATATTTGCTTTCAATTATTTGCCCTAGACCTCTGCTTTCAGACGTTATGAGGTTATTACCAGAACTGATAATAGTCCAATGCAGAGCCAATAATGTAATATAATACATTATTTAATATATATTTACATATGTATATTTATATAGTCTTAAAGTTACAAGGCGGCTGCGGGGACATCGTGATCCTGCATGTGAAAACGGAAGCGGTGGATGAGAACACGTCTGCGCTGGTTCTGAGCGGCCGAGGCTCGCCTGCGCCTTGCGGGGATTCCGCATGCAGAGGCGGGGAGCAGACTGCCGAGGAGCCGGGGGAGAACACCGCTGCTCCGGGGCTGCTGTGTGAGTGCTGCTGGGCTTTTCTCTTTCCCTTTTTAATGCACAATTTAGAAACAATAATTCAATACGTGGGGTTTCTGATTAAGAGGAGACACTACAGGTGGATAGTGTCCAAATCTGAATATTCAATTCATTCTTGGGGGAAATTGGGGTGATGAATACTTACATATATTTTCACTTGTAGTATTATAATAATTGAAATGCTGGTTCTTCTGGGGGTGTTCTATGGTTCTATCTCAGCTACCACACCGCAGCTGCCTGCACTGTACAATCGCTGGAGGACTGGGCTGTCACTCAAAAACTGAGTAGCCAATGGGGACGCACCCCTGAAAGTCCCGCCCATCTGGGAGGTTTGTGTCAGAATCTCAAACAAAAAGTGAAGGAGCGCAAAAGAGAGTGCTGCAGCGAGAGCAAAAGTCTGATCATTGAGAAAGAAGAAACAAGAACTGCAAACAAAAATATATGTTAAAACAAAGACAAAATACTTATAGTTTACATGATTACACAAATGATTTGTTTGCAACTTATAGTTTTATTTTTGAAATTTATTTTATTTAGCTTGACTCAGTTTTTTTTTCTTTTAAACTCATAGTTTTGCTTTATTCTGAGAAAGTGTTGCTTTATCTTTATGATACAAAACTAATCCCATAAGAGAGCACCAGAACGCAGCTCCGGCACTTCCAAAGATTGCAGTACCCATAAGAAGCCATACACATGCCGCAGTTTTTGCGTGGCTGTGTCTTTAGTTGAAAGCCCAGTGGCGATCTGTTCATCTGTCATACTGATCATACACTCAATAACTTTGTTGTTATTAGCATCTGGTTAGCTAGCTATGCTAACGAATATAAGAAGCTTTTTCTCCAACCAGTGAGGTAAAGGCACATCTTTATATGATCATTATAGTTATAAAAAAATAAGAGAATAAAGTAAACAGGTATAAAATACTATATGAGAGTAAAAAAAAGTTCAAACAAGAATAGGCTACAGTTTAAAAGGGGAGTGATTTGTAAAATATCCATAAAGAAAAAGAAAATCTGTTTACAGTTCTGTTTCATATGGGTGTTGAGAGATGTATCCATAGATCTAATGTTGCTCTCAAAGTGCACCAGATTGATGCTTTTAACTTCAACATTTAAAAACAAATCTTCCCGGGGGAGCATTCCCCCGGACCCCCCTAGAGGAGATTAGGTTGAAATTGAAATGGCCCTTGAGAGGAAAAAGGTTCCCCACCCCTGATTTATAGGCAAATATGGGCGTTACGTGAAGCCTGCAAAAGCTGCGCCGCATTTCGAGTTGATTATGATTTATAAAAGGAAACCGGCGTAGGATGTGCCGTACGCAAGTCCTGCGCCGGTACGCAGTCTTTCAATTCAACATTACAATTAAAGAAAATGGAAGATGGAAGATGCAATTGTGTGATGATTGCAGTATTTATGTGCACTGTACACTCACTTCACTATTGTGTCTATTTTTTACTGTAGTGAGAATTGCCAATGAAATTTCGTTGTACTTTGTATGATGACAATAAAGAAATATTCTATTCTATTCTTCATGCATATGTTTCAGTTCAGAAGACAGGAGGCACGCAGCTCAAACTGCTCATGTCGTTCCCAAGAAAAATATATACATATAAAATAGAACAGAGATAATATGCAATATGTTGAATAAATAGAGAACAACTAACCAGTTTATTATAGAAATACAGTAAGACAATTTACAGAGCTCATGAGATTAAAAGTCTTATGACATATACAATTCCCTTGATAATCAAATTAAGTTTGAATAGTAGCATAATTTTAAATAAAACTGTTATTTTTCTCACTAACTGACAACTAAAATAACATGTATTCTTTAATTTAAATAAATAACCATTCAGGAAGTCTCTTTTAAGTGGATGATGCCCTCTGCAGACAGGGACCAGTAGTGCATTTATCTGTCAAAAATAAAAAACTAGTTTCACTTTCCAAACGTCACCCAAAGAGAAGGGAGGTATTGCAGGAATATACTATTCGCTGAAGGAGGAACTGAGGACACATTTGTGGGAAGATACAGGTAAGAAACTCCACGAATGAATGCTTCTAAATCTCTACTTGTTTTGATTTCAAACCACCAACCCAATAGTCCACGGGGAAGTTTCTTATGCGCATTTGAAAGGGCCAGTGTCCAAATCATATGAATCGGGACAGTTTACGCGCAGGGAATTAGGCCTAATGCATGGTAAACAACGGAGGGAGACTTTCTAAATCACTTTGTTTGCTTTAGTGCCATAGTTTGGATGTGGAGCAGACGCGGTGTCTCTGGTTGTTTTGTGGCAGTGACTGTATCTGATGGAACCGATGGATTGGCTGGGGGATAATGAGCTCCTGCACTTTTTCCGGCGAAGTAAAACGGTAATGTCCTGCATGGAGAACCCGCAAACCTTTCTGCGACAACTCCGGGACCACGACCTGCTGCTGGAGGACAGATACCAGGTGAGGGGCTGGAGTGGAAACGCTGTTGTTATTACCTTCTTCATACACACTTCCTGTTTGAATGGATCATACAACGTAAATATATATATATTGTAGTAATAATGATATCATCTATTTATAATTGTAAATGTATATTGTATGTAGACATACATTTATTATATATATTTTTTTATTGTATTACACGTTCAAAATAAATCAAATCAAATGTGTCTTTGAAGAGGTGCTAGATTACTGAAAAACAACTGTTAGTGTGTTTATGCACCAGGCTGCAAAAGATAAACATGCAATTTGACCGAGAGGCATTTCAGTGCAGAATACATTTATTGGGCACAATTTCCACACTGGATTCTTCAATCTGCTGTTGGCCTGCTGTTGACCACCTTCTCCTGGGAGATATCCATGCTGGCACTCTGTCGTGGCACTCTGAACACTGGCTGAAGGGTTCCCTCGAGCAAGCTTCTGGCCTCCAGAGTCCAGAAGGCAAACCTTTGGCCGTGCCTTTGAAACAATAAGAACAAGATGTAATCTAAAGTATTGCATAGGGAAAGGCTAAGGCATTGGTGCACAATTGATATGCATTAATAATCTCAAGAGATATTGCCATCCAGAGTCTTACAGCTCTTGTTACTGATGGTCTACTGATCTGTAGATGGTTAACCTAATATAACTAACAGATGTTCTATTGACATGCTACTGAGTTTGTTGACAGATTGTAGATAATCTACAAGTGACCCTCAAAATAAAGTGTTACTGAAATTAAAACACACATATTGTTAAGGGCTTTCATACCCTTGTATTTCAAAACGCTCCATGAGAATAATAATAACTGACTAAAACACCTCATACAATATTGCAAAACATGTCAGAATGATGAGACTGTCTGATAAACAGTAAACAGGCAGTCAGCACAGTTAAGATTATTTACAATGAATTCAAATAGTAATACAATGACTATTAAAGAAGCATTTACACTGAAGACAGAACTTAGGCTACTGCTGATTTAATATAGCGGACAGACAGATCATATTGACATGCTTTTGTCATCCTTTGAAGTTTAATTAATTAGCTGACTATAATTAATGATCAGAGTTGGGAAGTTTACTTTTTTTAAATGTAGTAGGTTACAGATGACTAATTACCCTGTTAAAAATGTAATAAGTAATGTAACTGACTATGTAACTATTTGTATTGATATTCTAATGTTAATTATGGTTATTTTATGTTTTTTGTGAGTCACTTTGGATAAAAGCCTCTGCTAAATAACATAACCATAACATACGGTTTCATTAAACAAATGGCTAACAGTTGGTTTTGCAGCGAGTCATCATAGGCTAACTAGGGATGTCCCGATCACCTTTTTTTGCTCCCGATCCGATTCCGATCATTTGATTTTGACAATCTGCCGATACCGATTTTTCCCGATCCGATCTTT